CTCTTGACGAAGGCGGTCGCACTTTTCTCCTCTCCTCCTCTCCCTTAGCTTCCCTGCTTAGCCTCTTATGTCCTTGTCTAGTCTCTGTGTTTTTTGTATTACTTTTCCCTGGAACACTCTCTCACAGTCTGTTCTCTAAAACCTAAAAGAGAATTATGGATTTGATCAACTGGTCTCTGAATGCAATTGACACCCCTTCTCAACGAGAAGTCTGGGCTCGGGTGAGCCTGACTGCTGAAGATATCTACCTATTCGGAACCATGATAACAGGGTTCTGGCTGATCGGAGCTGGCTTGGCCCTGGCTTATCGAAGAATTAAGGAAGCGGAACCGGCTGTTCAAACCCCCACAAGGCTGCCCGCTGGGATTGAAATGATGGGACGAGGCGTGAGTTTCTCAAAATGGGCTCATTGAGTGCAGCACGGAGAAGATCTTGGAGAACGCACGGCTGCCGTGAATACTCAGAACAAGACCTCTGAGTGAAAAACTGGATTACATCTGGAGGGGCTAGCTCGAATAACACCTTTGAGCGCAAATTCGATCACATCTTGGGGAAGTGCACTGCGGTCGTGAGTTCTCAGAACCTGGGGCCCGTTCTTCGTACGTCGCTTACTACATCCAAGATCAAATCATCGCGCTAACCGTGAGCTCGCTAATCCGGTTCCCCGAACACACCTGCTGTTGACGATTACTACAGCTGGATGAAGTAATGTGCGATCACTGGGTGTCGTAAAAGGGGCTACGCATCGATAGCAGAAACAGTGATCGGCAACCCTCTGATTGGTCGGCGAAAATGTCGAAGGGGCGTGCTCGGTATTTTCCGGCAGCAGAGCAAGAACTCATGAGTGAGGGATTTCAGGAGTTTCAGAGTTTAATTAAAACGCAAGGGAACACTGCAAAGGCTGCAAAAGCAAGGAGAGAGGGCTGGCAGAAAGTTGCTGACAAATCAAACTCGTAGGTAATTTAATAATAACAATAATAATGGAGTGGGTTTATATAGCGCTTTTCAAGGCACCCAAAGCGCTTTACAATACCACTATTCAGTCACTTTATTATTTAGCCTATTTATAGATTTATTATATTACACTATATTATCCAATATTATATTACATTATATTATATTGTCATATTATATCCCCTTTCACATTAGAGCCACAACAGGACCCACTAGAACATGGGAACAAGTAAAAGTGAAATATAAGAATATTCTACAGAATGGTAATATTTATCACTTATATTGCTTTTCGTCTCTTGGAAAGAGACCCTGAAATAATCTGTTGTTTGTTCATAACAGCAACCAAGAAAAGGGCAGAGCAAAAAAAGACAGGTGGTGGTCCTGCACCCCCTCGTCAACAAGTTGGTTAAGTAAATAATACCCTCACGGGAAAATCGATATCTCTCTATGAGCACACTGTCGCGCTGAGCTAAAGGATCCTGTCTGTCCCGCAATATACGCTGAATTCTGAAAACTCTCCTTATCAATCTTGCACCTTCCGCAGGACATGGCTGCGACAGGCTTCCCAAATCCACCTTCGCTTTTATAGCCGTGGTCTCTCATCTTGATTACACGAAGTAATTTACAATTACTCTCCAAGAGCAAGAGCAGACAGGTAATAGGTTGCAAATAGAGGATCTTAGAAAGCCCGGAGTGGCAGAGAATATGAGAGCGTGGTGCAGGAGATTTAAGAAGACAATGAGATAGTGGTGAGCCGTGACAGACGGGTTCAAGGTTGGGGTGGGATCATGGAATCTCCCTGGCCTATGAGTTTTGCAGATGGCAACTGCAACCTGTTGTGAGAGTAGAGAGCCTGGAGAGGTGGGGGGAGCCAGCAGAAGAAGGTTGAGCGATTTGGAGACAAACTTAGTGATGCAAGGCTGGAATGTTTGGACACGTGCAGAGGTGGGAAAGTGGATATATTGGACTAAGGATGTTAAACATGGAGCTGCCAGGAAGGAGGAAGTTCTCCGAAAAGATTCTGTTAGTGAAGGTGGTGTGCAGAGGGTTGGTGTGACAGACAGGACACCATCAACTGTGGCAATAAATGTTATGTATTTGGGCTGATTAGAAACCACCACTGTGCACTTGCTCACTCAATACCAGCTGCTTACTACTTTCCATAGAAGGCAAAGTCCACTTCATACAAAACATCCTTAAATTTCCACACAGAGTCAGTTTTAAGCTCCTCTTGCACATTAGCTCAGCTTCATTTCATGAACACATTGCACAGTTAACAAACTCACAACAGCAGCCGTTTCAGTCACAACATCCACAGTTTATATTAAAAAATATAACATCTGCTGTAAGAACATCATTATAACCTGAAGCTTCGATAAAAATCGCCATAATCATGACCAAATGGGTTTAATTTGCCATCTACATGAAACTGCATATTGTTATCATAGCTTTGTTTTTTTAGAAAAAAAAAAAAAATCCCAATGCTTCTGGTAGAGCAATGTGAACGTCCGCTAATAAACACTTAGATTTGCTCGAGACAGATGCAAGTGTGAGTAGGTTTTATTTTTTAGGTGAAGAAAAGATCTAAGAAAGCAAAAATACTTGGTGATGCGTTCAAGTGCTGATGGGAGGCTCTGAAATCACCTCTTATTGCTGCCAAGTGCATCTCTCTAAAGTTTCACCCATTTTAGTTAAGTGTCTAAAACTCAGCGTGCGATCTGTGCTTTAAGTAGTGCCCTGAAAAATAAGAAGAAATTTACACACATTTCACCTAATCAGCGTTGAGGATCTATAACATAAGTGGTGAATGCTTTCAAACACAGCAGAGGACATGAAGGAATAAAGAGCCTCCAACCTCACTGAGTGACATGGACTCCTAAATGCACCACGTGGCTCGAGCCACTTGCGATACTACACAGTGTAGAGGTTAAAGTGTTAAAGGCTGTCCTGATGCTGAACTCTAGCTCTTCAGATCACTACCCCAAACTGGAATAGTCACAGTGATCCATTCATATATCTCGAGCAAATTCAAGTCACTCCAAGTTTGAAATTTTAAGAACTATGTAGTATTTATAGTTCTCTGTGAGACTGCTTTGAAAGGTTAACCATTATGTCATGATTTTAGGGAAATCAAAAACAGAGATTACAAAAGTCGACGTTACATAAAACTTTTTTTTTTTTTATAAAACTCTCTTCGGATCAAAAGCCATGGCACCAGTCAGTCATCTACATCTAAAAGACACCCACCATCATCCAGATGGGGGCACAAAGTGACATTATGATGCTAAGACTTGGATGCGGATAAATGCTGTGATAAGAGTCAACCAAATAATAATAATAATAATAATAATAATAATAATAATAATAATAATAAATAAAATGTTAAATCTGCATGTTTTACACATTACAGCTGAATTACTACAGTGCATTTTTGACACGATGGATTCTTAATTTACTTAAGCGGTAAAAACATCTCCAGCATTTTTTTGATTACGATTCAAACTGGCATACAGTTCTTTTTTTACAATTATTGGCCTGTAAGAAGTGAATGTAAAAGCTCCTGTGAGTGCGATCAGAAACAGCTGAGCGTCCATCTGTCTGACAGCAGGTCAGCGATCAAGTTCGTTGGTCAGTCAGAGAGAGGTCGGTCGGTGTGTCCGCTCCGCCGCTCTGCGTCAGTCAGTGCAAGTGATCAGTGCTTCAGTAGTGTGTCGACAACAGCAAAGTCCCATCAACCGGCCTAGGTCAGAGCCCCTAAAAATATTAAATATCACTCTTAATTTGCATATTTTATACATTCTTTACACTAACTGTGCAGCTCTCCAGGTCCAGGATTCTTGGAGGCGAACCAGCTCAACTCCTCAGAATAAAGTTGAGCAGAGTTGCTGGGTGAGTCCTATAATTTAAAAAAGGAAGAAGAAGAAAGGTCTCAACTGCTCACCCAGATTACAATAATCTTGTGAATGATGTTCCTGCAGCAGCCAATCACAGGCCAGCATTGGAGCGTCGAGATTATCGCCTCAACGATGTTGTGAGCAGTCTGAAACCTTTGTGCAGTCCATCGAGTCAAGTTGTTTCTTTTTTCCCTTCCTCAGCTGATGTTTCAAAGCTTTAATTCTCCAGGAAATTCTCCAAAAAAGAAAACCGTACATCTCCATTTGGTCCACTAGGATCACTTCCTTCCTTTGAGTCTCATTACAGCTGCTGGTTGTGTGCTTAGCATTTGAAAAAGCCCACTCTCCTGTGGCTGCTGCTTCTTATCCAGTGCAACACTGCCCTCAAACAGGATCTGACACAGCTTGAATTGAAATGACAAGAAAAACAAAACAGATGTACCCCCCTAAAAAAAATAAATAAAAATAATAATAATAATAATAATAATAATAATAATAAAATTTAAAAAAGATTGAGATCATTTCCGATCGCGTTAGCTGAAGACTGAGGGCGTCTCGTGTTTGTTCCGCTTTCCCGATTGCTTGCTGAGCTTCAGTTCGCTGATGCGGAGCAGATGCCGTCATAACAGCTTGTCAATCACTGCGACTCCTGAAACAACGAGACGACCAATCAGAGAAAGCAGATTTGCAAACAGGTAATACGTGTTCAGCCCGTCACGTTCATTTCTCCCGGTACTGTAGAAATACTGACTGCAAGGAGACCTACCAGCATAACTTCGTCCATTGCTCATGTTGGTGGGAATGAGGCTCCACTTGTCTGTGGCTGGGTTGTAAAACTCTACAGAGGACAGATTGCAGGACCCGTCATCTCCACCGATCACATACAGCAGCCCGTTAATGGCACAAACACCTGGGGGGGAGCAATGCAACATGTTTATTTTAAAGATCAGCACAGGAAATTTGTCCCATTTATCATTAAATGACCCAATTTACAAAATAATCAGCGTACACCACGTTTACGTATGTTTTATTAGCAATACAGGAGAATAAAGGTTTTTAGTCATCTCTTACAGATCTAATATCTTTAAAGCACAGGCCAGTAGAGTACATGAACATCTTAAAGCCAATCTGAACATCATGCAAGAAAATATTGTAAATATTTGTACATGCAAATCTAATAAATGGCTCTCTTACCCATAAACGGCAGCTGAATAGTTATTTATTAGTAACAATTTAAATAACTCAAGGACCAAAAAGAAAGGCAGTCATCAGCTTTTCAGAGGGAGAAATAAAGCTTTAGCCAGAGCGTACGATGAATAGATCGATAGATGCTGTGACCGCAGTCTGACCTGCGTTTCGTCGACACATGTTCATGTCGCAGACCAGCCTCCAGGTGTTGGTCTGTGGGTCGTACACCTCCACACTCTTTCTCACCAGAGGACCGTCATGGCCTCCTGCTGCATACAGCTGACCACCCAACACACCCACACCTGGACAAATATTTTTTAAATAAATAAATAAATATCAGGAGACTGTGACAGTCAAATCCTCCAAAACCCAAATATAGTGCAAATTCACCACAAATGAAGAGCTTTAACAAAACAAGTTCTGATTTTGTTCAGATTGTTTTTACAAAGCAGTTAGCGTCCACCAGGGGGTGCTGTTTCTACCAGTTAAATGGTTAGAAAAAGGCCAATTCACCATCATAGAGCGGGATGATTAGACGCTTCTAATACTGATATTACACAACACATTATGATCAGAGCACGTGAGCATTCGCTTGGATCCCACTGATGGAAATTTCTATTTTTCCTGAATACTAAGGGTTGAGCTGTGATGCTGCTCCCTGTGTGGATGTACAGTAGGCAGGATACAGTGTGTGGTACCTGCTCCACTTCGCCGTGTGCCCATCTCAGCTACATAGCACCACTGATTAGAGACTGGGTCATATTCTTCCACTGTACTGAGACACTGGCGTGATGCACCATCATAACCCCCTACTGCGTACAGTTTACCTACAGATAAACACAAACAGGTTAAAAACAGCATATACATATTTAAAGCTTGGATTTTCATTCTGATGGCATAAAAGGTAGCTGACACACAAGTCACTCTTACCATCAACCACCCCTACACCCACGCTGCTGCGTCTGGTGTTCATGGAGGCGACGTACGTCCACTCGTTGGTTTTATAGTTGTAAACCTCGACTGTTGACAAACCTGAGACACAGATGCAAAGAAAGAAGGGAGAGATGTAGAAATGGGAAAGACTGGAAGCGAAGGTCTGCGGTAAAGGGTTACAGAGTGCGTTATCACATCAGTCTGTGAGCCTTCTACACCCAGCTGGTAGATGTGTTGTGAGAAGAAAACGGATCTCCTGCCTCCCGTGTTTTAATGGGGTTTAATAGAGCATAAGAGCGCTGTGCCACTACAAGCAAATGTATCAAATGAGGAGAACAGTCAGATGATGATGATACCAAGGAAAAACAACTTTTTCTAAAGTGAAAATATTTTTCTTCACTTGCATAGAAATTTACCTTAATTTCCTTCAGTATAAACAGTTCATAATCAGTATTTTTATATTAATTGAAGGCAGTGCAATGAGATCCCTGTGAGCAGCAACTGGATGTGTGATAGTTCTCAAACTGCAATAATGTGACAAATGTATCTATTCCGACTGAAATTTACTAAACTTAAAAATGTGTTTATTTGAGTTACCAACAGGCACATTATGCATAAACCCACTGCTATTAATAGCTACATGCATTATGTGTACCTATGCTTCCATTAAAGCCTCCCACAGCATACAGTAAATCGCCCAGCACAGCGGCTCCCAGCGTGCTGCGCCTCTCCTGCATGCTCGACACCGCACTCCACTGGTCTCTTGTGCCGTCGTACACGTCCACCGTACGCTCCCGCAGCGAACTGTTGAAACCTCCAACCGCAAACACTCGGCCCGCCATGGAAACCACACCTGGGAAACAAGACAAAGAATTTGGGGATGAGATCATGGCTTGTTAAATTTAAACGCAGGCTTCCAAAAGTCATTGCTTCTATGAGGAAACCACAAGAATGTTTAGAAACCAACATGTCAGAAATGCACAAAGTCTGTCTTGAATCCTTGTATCTTTAACAGTCTTTGTTACACCCTTGCTGAACCTCCTTCATAGGACTCTACTAGACCACAGCTGGTCTGCTGCATTGTTCTACTGATTGGTTCTCCTTCTTTCAATGCTTTTGGAGTCGGGCTGTGCGATATGACCAAAATCTCAAATCCCGATATAAGAACTCTATCGTCCGATAACGATATAAATCACAAAAATGTAACATTTTCTGTGAATCTCGGGCAGCTCGACTTGTGTGAAGTGTTTCCAGCTGGGCGTCGTGTAGCTGAGTCGAGTGTTTTAACCGATGCATTTTTAGACATAAGTTGTAACGGCCGCCGTTTTCTTTGTGAGTATTTATTACACGGCGTGCTGCGGGGAAAAGCCTGTTCTAACGTTTGAGTCTAAGGTTTTTTTAGCACCTGGCGGCTCTTTTTTACTTCTCATCCGTAAATAATCTGCTCTTTCATGTGATTCAGTTTATTTTGAAAAGTCTCAACAGGATCTTGAGCTTTATTGTGAAAGGTTTATGTGGAACATAAACAAGCAGACACGCAAAGGTGTTACCGTCATTGTTGCTAACCACCACGCATAAAAACAGGCGCTTGTAGTGTGGTTATATTAAATATAAGAGAAAGAGAGAACTTTAAGAATATAGTCACTACAGTGACCATCAAAACCATGAAAAAATATTGCCGTAAACAGTTTATTTTGCGACACCACGAAACAAACGATAGCGTAAAATGAAACGACAGATGTTTTCATATCGTCATATCGAACAGCCCTATTTTGGAGTGCAGGAACCAAAACCATAATAAGTTTACAGAACTTTTTGGGGCTGTTTTATCTGCTACTACAGAGTCAGTAGTTTTGGTCCATACATATATGTAGGCTTGAGTAATCTGGATAAAGCAAGACTAGTACAGGTATACATGTATATAGATTAGTCATTGAACATAAATGCAGCACAAGCCACCAGCATTGCAAAAATATACATGTAAACCTTAAAAAGTGCATAAATAAGGAAATATTAATGCACCGTAAATTGATCCTATATAATATACATTTTAACCTGGTATATAAGACCATATATTCCTGTCAACATACTACAGGGCATCCAACACACTGCAAACAAATGTAGAAATAAGAGGTGAGAAATAAGGTTTGGGCGGTACACAATTCCCTGGGAACAGTGCAGACAGTCCCCAAAACTGATTGAAATGCAGCCATTATTTCTATTTTTCCATCAGAAGTGCATTTGCAGTGTTATCCAACCCGCTGTTTTTAGATGTCACTAGACACGCCAAGCAATGAACTAACCTGCCCGGCAGCGTCTAGAGGGCAGATCGGCCACTTGGTACCAACGATCTTCCTGGAAGTCGTAACACTCCACGCTGCGGATGGCTTTGGGAGCCTGACCACCCACTACAATCATCACCTGCACGTCCACACAGACCCACAGTAAGAAAATACAAGCGCACACGTGTATTTTACGTTAAAAACCTTCAGCTTTGGCACATTTCTGCGTGTACCTTTGGGATGCTGATCGGAGTTCGTGGTCGCGTCCTATCAGTCTTTATGAGGTGACGCTGGTCAGCAGGCAACAGGTGATACTTCATTGCTTCTATGAGGAAATCTTTACAAGTGTTGTTGTTCTTTATCAAAGCTTCTTCCTCTACAATCTGAAACGGGGATCAGATTTCATTCAAGATGAAGATACACAGTAGATTTCTGTTGAGTACTCAGCCTTTCAGTCTCTGGAGGCATTTCTAAATGTAATAACTCCTTTCATCAAGTCCCTCTGTTGTTGCAATACCTGTTTAAAATGTGGCAACAGTGGCAGAGACATGAACACTACAGGTGGGAGGCGAGAGAAAAAAAAAATTATGTGGGAAACCGGTTTCTTGTGTGTGACTTGAGCAAAAAAAATCAGTGCTGCTGAAAGATTTGCATGTAGGCACACTAATTGTGGCAGCTGGCCCACAAACACGATGACTAATGTACTGCACAAAGACGAACAAACAGTGACTTATTTCAGCATCAACTCTTCTTAACATACTGTGATGAAAACCATTTGTAGCTGTGGGAGTGACTTTGTTATCCAACCTAAAGGCCAGAAACTAGTCCAACATCTTAGTAGAGCAGCGATTCCCAACTGGGACGAGCCATCAAGGTACGGCAAACAAAGCTATGAGCTGAATTTATTGTATATCACATTAACAGTGGGGCTCTCAAATGTAAAGCGGATTAAGAAACTAAACAAGCAAATCATTAAAAATCAAATCAAGGACAACATAATGAAGGAAATGCTTGATACACTGGTTGATGGTCAAAGTTGTGGGTTGGCCAGAGGAGATTTTTAGCTCACATAATGAGCGATAGCAGTCTTCGGTTTGAAAAAGCTCTTTTGAATATTCAATTATATCTGATGGCACGGCTGACTGAAAGCCATGATTAACCCCAGTCACCTGTTGGTCAAAGACCGATAATGTTTAAACAGAATTCGTTTTACCTGTACCAGGTAATCTCTGGAAAGCAGTGGAAGTCTCACATGCTCCATTAGTTTGGGCATGTATTCCAGACGAGCTGGTTTATCATGTTTGATCCACGATATCATTGCCTCGAACACCTAAGAACAAGGAAAAATATGAAGGATATGGTGAAACTGCTCCGATGTAGAAGCGACCACAGCAGTTTATTACATAGACTCTCAGTTACTTTGTTTGGCCCCACTTTGTCTTTACAGGTGCTTATCTACATCAGTACTCCACTTTTTTGGGGGGTTTGTGAAAGTTTGAAAACTTTTGGGATCAAAAACTTTAAAACTGGGAACAAAACCTGTTGACACAAGCCCAATTTTATCCCATCCCCTTGAAGTTAAGAGGGCGTGACAGATTTTTCTTGGAAGCTGCTGGATGTTAGAAATGTGCAGGCTGAGACTGAAACAGTGAGACTACCAGTGTATAAATACACGACACCTCATAATCCCAACGACTTTCCTGTTTTGTAGATGCCATGAAGTTTCAAGACTGACCGCTCCAGGGAGCAATCGACAGAACAGAGGCTGCAGACACTAGTTTCATGCCACACCACATTCATATTCATTGTGCCACTTCAGTCCCATTTATCTCTTGATTGCCTGTAGGGCAGCTCCACAAGAGCAAAGGGGGGGCTGCGTGCCCATCACATTGTGCACAAAGGACTCCAGCGATGGTAGTTGAGATTAAGAGGACAATTGTTCAAAACCTCTCCAGACTCTTATCTTCCAGGGTTAAAAAGATCTTGTTTCAGAAATGAAAGTGGCAACGTTTTACAAGGCAGCACGTCGAATGTCCTCAGACAGGCACTGTGAGTAAAAATGCAGAGACTCCTGCTGCCATTTATTTCAACTAGAACACAACCAGTACTGTACAAAAGTTTTGTAGCCGATCATTTCCATTGTTTTTAATTTAACGGTGCCTATGAATCATTCAAGCATAAAAAGGCTCACCCAACTCAAGGGATGCACCAGTTTTTGTCTAAACATAACAAACAACCTAGCAAAAAAAACTGTTTTAAATCGCATCTTTACACAATTCATTACTAGAAAGCCTGTCAGAAATGCAAACACAATTTGTTCCCATTTCTTTAGCTGAATCTATGAAAAAAAAACACCAAAGATAACAGTTTGACGTGCATAGAAATCGTGTTTTTCCACCAGTAGGGCAAATACCAAAGTGCTATTAGGTGGAAACCTAACTTATTGTGGCAGTATGCACTTCCAAGATTAGAGGAAACTAGTCAAATAGCAGAAATGGGCAACTGGGAGCTAAAAACTACCAGCAAATAAATCACTATCTGAAAGTTACGTCCTTAAGAAATGAGACAAAATCCAGCAAAAACCCAACTGGCCCTTTAGTTGAGCCTCGTCAGAAATGGTGTGAGGGGAAGGGTGGCTGTTAAGAAGCCATTCTTAAGGAAGAGAAGTGGACTGAAGACCAGTGGCAACGGTTTTGATGAAGTGATGAATCCAAATTTAAATTTGGACTGGATTAACCAGAGCCCAAACCTCAACATTACTGAAGCAGTGCGGGATCATCTTGACACAACAGAACAAAAGGCAGCCACCAACATCCAAAGCCTGGAGAACGACTCCTGAAGACAACTCAGACAAGCTTTCTAGTCATTTCTTTAAGAGTCCGGCTGTTTAAGAATAAAGGTGATCATAGCAAATACAGACTGTCAAGCTCCTTTGTGTTTATACCAGTTCTGTTTTTGCCTTATATGCTGTATTTTTATATAGGATTGCACATTTCAAGCCATCACTGCACCCATTTTCAATTTTCCTTGCAAAATATAAAGAAATAACGGCTGATGCAAGACTTTTGCACAATGTAAAGCAATAAAAACTATGCAATTTGGGTTATTCTCCTCTCAACTAAGAGGTTAGAGGGGGGAACCCTGTTTCAATGATGCATGAACACTCACATGATGGAAGAACAAAGTCAAATTGAGACAATACACAAAAATGACCTCAAGAAGTTAATCCACTCACTTCATTTAATCCACTCACAAAACAGCTGCAGCAGGTAAATCAGAGCCGTGTCTGCTGATGCAGTTTGTTTGGCGCTTCATGGTTAGCGTGACAGCGTCCAACTCCCCGCGTTTATGTTTGAATCAACCTTTGCTGTCAGTGCTCTGACAGCAGCATGTCACACAGCTGCGACATCAAACTCTTGCTGTTTGACAGGTTAACTGCAGACAGATGCGCCATCCCCAGGAATATACGTCTGCTGTCAGATTCAGCCCATCATACACAGCAAGTGTGGGATGACTCTTTTTTTACTGTCCCTTTTTCTGAAGTCTGCTTTACTTCAGAGATTTTGTGATCACTGAAGTGAAAATCTGTTATGGATTTCATTTTCACTCAAGCATCTTTAAAAAAATAAAATAAAATGAATAAAAATATCTATCTTTATGGTGACGCCTGACCTTTTCCTCTGTTGACACGGTGAGTTTGTCGCTGGAGATGAGGCTGCACACCTGCTGCAGAGAAAGGCTCAGAAACTCCTCGCCCTGCACCACATCAGTAAAATGCTGCTCTGAGAGACACAAACATCCACAGCACACATTAAACACTGTCCCAGCAAGCGAAGCTTAAATGAAAACATGCTCGTTGTCTTTGCTGTCCAAGACACCTAATGTATTCCCCTAGACTCGTGTCAGATTTTAAACACCTCATAAATCAGCCAACTCACAAAGTGACAGATTATGTGGCGCGAATAGAGAAAGAAAAAACAAAAATCTTACCAGCGTAAGCATGAGCCTGGTTGAGAAGCTGTGTGCATGTATGCAGGTCAGCAAAGGCTCTGATGCCCAAGCAGTTGGTGGGATGAAGCTGAGATTGCAGGAATTCGCAACAAACCTGACGCACATCCATCAGCTGGAGGAGGCTGGCTGCAGGCAGCAGTACCTAATATTTGTTTTTTTTTTTTAAAAAGTCACAAAAAGTTGAGTTAGCAGTTTACCTCCACAGCTGTGTACACAACTCAAGACTTCATCAGCACAGCAGGTCTGTTATTCAGTGAGCTAATCAAACAAACTCAAACTCATCATTCAGGTTAGGAAGCAAACTGATACCCGGTAAGTTTATCAGTAGGATTAACTTTAAGGATCGGACAGAACTGAAGAAGCTTCTCGGATGAGAGGTGAATCGTCTTCAAGCAACTTAAAAAAAGTCCAGACGCTTTTCTTTGCAAGCTCCTTAAAGTAGAGAAACTCATTTGGTTTTGATCTCTACTTTGAATGAGGAGCTACTAAACCACTTCCTGCAAGACTTTCAACTTGGTGCAACAGCCTCTAAAACGAAAGGTCACAAACATGTCAGCTATGCTTGCCACTTAGAGTTTATAAACACAAACATCATGGATTTAACAATTGTCTGCAATTCTTCATCCCTCTATTTTCTTTACCAGCAATGAAAAATAAATAAATAAATCCAGCCCGGGACCATAATCAGCCAATAGCCATTGTCCTTGGTCCTGACCAGAGTCGACCTCATATATGATTACAAGCCAGTCCGATTCGTGCATGCACAACACATACACACTGACAGCCACGAGCCAACATGAAAGCTTCTCACTGGGCGTGAATACACAACACTGCATGGCAACGACCCCAAAACCACTTGAAACAACAAACCTAATCAGACACTTAAAATCACCTTCATCTCGCTGAACACTGACATCAACTGAGGCTAACAAAGGCTAAAGCTATCCAGAGCTCAGAGCCAGGACTAAGACGGCAGCCTCGGTACGAGCAAAGGCTCAAAGCAGTTACAAGGAAAATTGCAGAAACAAGTGAAAAAGAGAAAGAGCTTGATGTCTGCTGAAGTTAGGAACACTGGAAACATTATTCAAGTACCTGAAATTGATTTTGTTATATAAACCTGTTGAACCTGCTTCTGTTTGGTAGGTAAAAGTGGGTGTGCAGCAACTCATTTTCAGTTAGTTATGTGTACCTCTTTCCACTAAAGAAGATCCTGCAACTTACTGCAATTAGGGAGAAAAGCTTAGCCTTCACTGTAAATCTGCCTCTTTTTTGTTGTGTTAAAAACAAAGCAAGTCCTCATCCTTCACAGCAGAGCGCTTTCACCCCTCCTTGGCACGCCAAACTGAGTCCCTGTTTATCGCAGCTCAAATAAAGGTAACTAGAAAAGAGCTTTTCATCAACAAGATATAAATAAAGTCCTAAATAAAGAGTTATCTGAAAAATCTGGCTTCAGTCCGCCTTCTGCAGCTTTTGTTTGTGTTGTGATTTTATTGTTAGAACACTAGATATTATGCTAAACTCATCACTGTGACATAAAGATAGACGAAAAAGAAAAAAGATTAATAAGACCAAATAAGAGTTTGCACACATTCAACTGGCAACACTTACTGCTCGATCAGTACTGACCTTGGCCACTTGAAACTATTTTCTAGACCAGCCCTCATTTTTTTGGCTACAGCTATGTTTTTAAAACGGGTGCCGCTTTTTGTCCATTTCAACATTTGTGACAAGCATCTAGGGAACTGCCGAGAAACTGATGCTAACAAAGCTACTCATTAGTTTAAGTAGGTCAGCGTCTGCCTGCCTCAACACCTCGCTGTTTCTTCAGACACACACACACTCATCCACTGAATGAGTATTGTCACTGTGTCCTCTGTTTCCTGTACACAGCTGCCCCGAAGCCTTGCATCTTCTAAAACACAGCATCAGGCCCAGTGAAACTCTGTTTACAGCAGCTGTGACACACCAAAATGCACACACACACACACACGGCTGCGAGCAAAACAAAAACACTTTTAGTACAGAGAAACGCTGACTTTCAAGAAAAGAAAAGAGTCTAAATCCAACTTTTGACAGATTTTTTTTTGTACACACACACACACACACACACACACACACACACACACACACACCTAACAGTTGGAGGATTTCCTGCCTTGTCCATGCACACTTCCTGCACTAATAATCAGAGGAAGTATCTTGCCTGCAGCTGGAGCAAGCTGAGCTGTGAGAGAAGTAATGCAGCTACCACATGTTAATGCCACCGAGCTAACCAAAGCCTCAGCGCTGTGCTTTCACAGCAGAAAACCCCACAGAAAGCTCTGTGTTTGTCCTCTGTAGTAAACATCTGCTCCTCAAACACGGCCAATCGGACCATCCTGATAAAAGGGAAAGACTTAAAATGACGACAATCCCTTTCAGGTATTATGCAGCTGTGTCTGAAACACATTTATGATTAGAAACAAAAACAATAATATCATTAAAATGCTTTTGTGAGCAACACTTTTATTAAAATTAATTTAGGTCTTAAAAAAGGTAAATAGAGGCACTTTCCCCAAGAAGGACAGTTCAAAATATGTGTTTAGTTTATAGTTTAGCAACAGTGTTTAAAAAAATTAAAGCTTTTATCCACCCCAAACAGGATTAATATGCAGTTATTCTTTCTTGTACTTAAAGTGGTGAACAAAAACAAAGGTCAGGATAAAGAAAAGGGCAGCAAGTTACAAATTTCCTTCTTAAAACAAAGGATGTTTTGTAAGAGCCAGACTTATGCTGCGATCGTTTTGCTTGGAGCAGCAGCAGCACCACTTTGATATAATTATCCAACTTGTTAAACAAGTGTGAAAAAAGAAAGTGTGACAACATGATGTTTTAATATGCAGCTCCCCAGGCAGCTCCATGTTTACTTCTCCACTGTTAACCATTGAACAGAGGAGACGAGGAGCTTACAGGGCTAGGCGTTATTAGCAAAGGTGATTATGTTATTGCTGCTAATATACAAGAGTCGTTTTAGTCTTCAAATGAACACACAAGCCACCATAAGAGAGGAGAAACAGGAAGGAAATCTAGGATTCTCACCTGGACGTTGTCCTCTGTGACCTCGATCTCTGCTGTGTAAATATAGTCGACCAGTTTTCTCAGAGTCTGACCGTCCACCTCTCTGATCTCCACCTGGTGAGCTTTACTCTCACTCATATCACCTGCGCACACACAGACACACACAGCTAAGCATACACACAACTGTGTGCAGCATCATACACAATGCACCAACAATAGTGTGCATGTACCTGTGAACATGGCACAGAAGTAAGGGCTACAGGACGCCAAGACCACCCTGTGAGCTGGCACTTCAACGCTCCCGGCTACCAGCTGGACGTCACACAGCATCTTTTTACTGGAGGAAGGACAAACAGACGGCGTTATGTACGAGAACCTTCGACTGACGATGTCCATAACTAGACATCTGATTTTATCGCTTGCAATTTTCAGATTCGTCATTATTTTTGTGCAGAAACACTCAATTTCCTAATGTTACACACCTACAAACACGACGTTTATTAGAAAGTAAATCCAAACAGACATGTGGCAGTAACACTATGAGATTAAGGCATTGAAACAAAGAGAATTTAACTCAATTTTCGATAAAGACTTAAAAAGAATTACTGACATTAGAACATAAATATGTCACAGACATACGATAAACACAAAATAGAGCAACAGATAAGCATTAATGCTTCTGGTCGTTGCTTTGTCAATTGAGAGTTCTGGAGGGATTATTTGAGTTGCGTCAAAAAATATAAGACAGAATTATTAAAATGTTTTTTGTACAAATGTGAAGTTAAATCTGCACTCAAGAGCCGAGCCAGGGAAGAGGGGAAAAAACTCTGGTATTCATCACCAGTTGATGAAATATCACAGTAAAATACATGAATCTGGGCCAGTTGTGTTGAGGTTCACATTTCACAATTAACAAGCCCACAGTCGTTTTTGTCATGCATGTGCAGAATAAAACATCCCCACCCAACAGAAGAGGTTTGCCAGTAGCTGTCTGACAGTGATTTGCAGTTGAAGTCTCTTCTTTAAAAATGCAGCAGATCAGTTCAGGCAGAAGTCACGTACTGCTGCACTGACATTTTCAGACAAGCCAGGTGAACAAGCGAAGACTTGCATGTCCTTTCTGGCTTACAAAACTCGATACGGCCTCTTCGTTCTCAAGTTAAAACGAAACGGTAGAAACCACAATTTGAGCTACGCACCTCCTCAGGTCGTTCATCAACTGAAACGCTTTCCTCATGTGCGTCTGGTTGAAGGTGTGCATCCCTCCATTCACCGTGTCCTCTTCTGAATCGGTGGCACATGGTGGACGCGGTGAGGCCGGTGTGGCAACCAGACTGGTAAGACATAAGAGGCAGTGTCTGGATCAGCGGATAGCGATGATGACAAAAGGCAACCACAAACCATAATAAGCCTCCACCATCTTTTACAGATGACTGTAGACACTCACTGTTGTACATCTCCCCTCACCTCCTCTGTACATACGGATGATCTGAACCAAAAATAATTTTATACAGCTTCTTCTCTCCATAAAACTTGTTGCTACAGTCCAGTTCTTATGTAATTTGGCATAGCTCAGCCTTGTCTCCTCATTTCCCTTCCTTAAGAACAGATTTTGAACAGCCACGAGACCATTTCTGATAAGGCTTCAGCAAACAGTAGACAGATCAACTGAAGGTTCATATGCATCTCTCAGATCCTGTGTCACGTCTTTGTGTAGACACTGGCTCATCCTTGAGTTAGGTGCCTTTTTATCCTTGAATGGTTAACTGGTTAGTGTTAAGTAGAAAGTTTGGATTTCTCAAGACAATCAAAACAACAACAGAGTCTGGCTTCTTGGAAGCAAACTACAAAAAAATGAGTATGTGTATACTCAAAGCTGATCCATTAGACTGATGGATGTCATCTTCGCGTTAATCCAAAGGTACCAAATAACCATTCAAGCATGTCTATTTAACTGAGGATACCTGCTCTATTCAAGATGATTGGAGGAAAGGTGTTCTTTGACCCTATCCTTTATTAAGGATTAAAGCTGGATACATTTTATGGTCAGTGCATCCTTTAAAAGGGTAAAAACAGCCACAATATATAGGGTTTCATTTCTTTTAACGAGCTAAGCAATTAGTGCCTATTTGCTGTGGAAGATTAACAAACATCTGCCACACAGATGGCATGTGCATATTACTGGTAACTTCTTTTACACGGGGACTGCACAGAAAAAGAAGCCCTCACACATGCTTACAAGGAAATGGGGGGGGGGGAAAGAGCATGCAGACCCGAAGCTTCAGCCCAAACCTTAGGATATTAATTTACAAGCAAATGTGACCTGCAGCGAGCTGAAAGCACATCTGATAGTGTCGGACAGAAAAACCGCTGTTTATTTAAACAGTGCTTGGCCGTCTCCACCGTGCATGTACTGTACGATGTGCTATCTTAACTCTCAAAACAAGCCGTCTCTTCACCCACAGATAATCAAGCATTTCGAAGAATTTATGATGCTGCACTGAAAAGTCACAGTAGCTGCCCGGTAATTCGTTTTTGTTTAACAGCTTACGGTAAGCTTGTCTTCGTGCGTCCAAAAAAACCAAATCAACAGGAAGCTGTTCAATTCATTTTAAGTTTGTTGTGGGTTAAGTTAGCTAGCTCCTAGCATTGCTAACCAACATATAACCTTATGACAGCCATGAATATCAACTGAAATCGTATTTTAAGCTACTTTAAAAATAATTACAAACCAACCCACATTCAGTCAACTATCTACAGTCTGGTTTGGTTGGCTGCCATCAGCTGAGCAGCCAGTGATGCTAGCTGACTAACGGGCGCTAACTAGTCAACACAGCTAGCCCCGAGTTCGCGTGCTGTGAGCGAGCTCTCGAGCTGTCCGTGTTGGGTTTCTGGCCACTACATCGCGTAGGTTCAAATGTCATCCAGCAGATGCAGAAGCAGCCTGAATCCCATCTTTAGAAAACATAATCCCCACCGATGAGCCAACTCACCCCAACGACACACCGTCCATCCTCCCGGAGTCAGAGAACACAGCGGGCATGAGCGCCGAGCGGCCGGCTGCACGCAGATCGTCTATTAGAAAGATGAGTAACTCCGCAAGACTGGCATACACAGATGGTTTTATATGGTGACTCACTCCCTTTATTTTTATGCACATTTTTAAAAATAGTTATACAAACTGTATTAAAACACAGTAAGCCAACCTTTGAAAGATAATAAGTAATGACAAGAATTATCAACAAGACCACAATTGCATAAGAGTTATAGGGTTCATCGTTCTTTCTTTGTATCATTCGTCTTTTGTTGTCATTTCCAGTGAAAACAGGATCAGGGATCAACATTTCCCTGAAATTACTAAATGCTCCTCCCACGATAAACTTGAATTTCTCTTATCTTAAAAACACAACTGATTTGAATTAGCTGGAGGATTATAATTCAGATATTCCGATTAACTAAAAAGAAAATGCGTTTCGACGCCTTTTGTTTCCATTTGCACTATAAAGGCAGCACAGTCAATAAATGCTTTTGCATTTGCAGGACTTCATGAGTACAATTGATTTTCCATCATCTGGCTAATCAAATCACTGTTTCATCTCTAACAAGAAATGTGAAATCCATCACCTGGTATAAAGCAGGGGCGTTACCAGCTACTTAAGATAACAGGAAATGCAGCAACGTTGTAGACATAAAATAAAGCCATTTTTTTGTTATTTTAGTTGTATTGCAAGAGCTGTTAGTCTTTAAATCTCTGCAATGGAAGGACTGCCAAAGTAAAAGAATTTAGATGACTTAAAAATCACATCTTAAATAGGCCCACATTATGAATATTTAGGTTTTATTAAATAGCAAGATTGTACAATCCAAAATTGCTTACTGGAGGGTGGCCTGCATTTAGTCTATTAGTGTATCATAAAATGCTTACTAAGGAGTCAAATACAAATAGTCACATCTAGTCACATCTGCACTGAAAGAGTCCCATTTTAAAATCTATGGGAGCATTCAGTGATTGCAAATACCACGAAGCAAAATTCCTACCCATGAGCTTTCAAACGTAAGTCAGCCACCCTTTGAATTCACATTTGAGCAAAAGGGGTATGCAGAACTATTTCTATAAGTTAATTGTTCCTATTTTAACAGCACAAACATGCATTTAGTTTACTTCAGCAATAACAAAAAATAACTTGAGGAACTTTCTTCTATCAGTTGAGGTTAAAATAAAAATGCTTTGTATTAGCACTTTTATGCACTATTCGCGAGGGATTCAGCAAATTATAAAAGTGGCTCAAAAAATAACTCTTTGGACTACAGTTAAAAAAATTACATATCAAGTTCTGCACGTAGTGTAAATAATGGTCGTCTCTATAATAAATCTTTCTAGCTCCACCCACTGTTTGACTTAGTATTTTACATTCACAGCCAGTGGATCACATCTGTCCAGTGATCGGAGCTTTATTCTGGCTTCCTGTGAGTCAGAGATTTTTCTGCTGTTGTAAAACACTGAACGGGTTGGTGTCAACAGCACTCCTCTCACAAACTCTAAAGGGAATAATTATGAGTTATACACCGGAACCTTCTCAGTTAGCCTCATTTAATATTGCTAATCTCACTCGCTATGAATTGAAGTTGACTTAAAATCCTATTTGTAAAATGTGAAAAACAAAAAAACCTGCAACCCTGTGCCTGAAGAACTGAACTCTGTGTGACCTTTGGGGAAGCTGTACCTAGATCCCTGTAGGGTGGCTTTGAAGGGAGGTTGTCATACAGTTTACAGGGAGTAAACACTGGGAAGCATGCTGAACATAGACACGCTCAAATACACTGGAAAAGCAAAGCTTGGCCTGATATGTTTGGCATGTGAGAGGTGCTTCACATTAATATGCATTTAGAGTCTACGCTTGTGCACAATACATGTGGTTAAATAACAAAGAGAGAAGGTGTCAGCGGCACTTTGTCTTTCTCTGCTGCTCGTGCTTAAGTCTCGACACCCCAGGGGATCATTTTTACTCCTTAGTTTTTTATTTTACATTTTCTATTAGGATCTGTTAATCTGGTTTAAATAAAGCATTATATCTAGCAAGATTATGCTCAAAATACTTTGCAAAACAAGCATTACAAATTAACGCTCAAACCTTTTGTGAAGTGTAACTTTTCCTTAAATATATTAAACAGGATACAAGGCAAGGCTGCACAGAAACGTTAAAATCATAGGTTTTCCAGGCCTGTTTTCTGCATTTATTTCTGATTTCCTTCCTGGAAATGCCCATTCTCATCTCCAGAACTCTTAGGTCAGGTTTGTGATGAGTATGTGCATTTCCATGTACTAAACTGATAATAGAAGACCAGCATTCAGTTTTAAGTTCGCTCGAGGTCTCTTCCAACTCTCATTCCATTTAATCTAAAGCCAAAATGATTCAGTCAAACAATGAATGTATGCTACTAAACGTGCTTTATAAAAATCAGGCATGAAAGGAGTGATAAAATGCAGTGTACAGCTGTAACAACATCAGGTTATAACACTCAATGTTAAAAAGAAAAATACTTTCATATAAAAACACCCAGTATTTGGATATTTTCCAAACCAGAAACAGGTTCAGAGTGAGAGCTCTCACTTCATTCTTCCTTTGCCTGTGCACCTACTTTCCTCCATAAAATCTTGTAGGTCATGTAGGTGTTGCTGATGACATCCAGCCCTTACACAAGCGGATTTGGTACACACTTTAGCACCATGGCCCGTTACGTTCATTTATATCTGCCAATACCTAACACCTCTCCCCTTTGTTTGATGGACACTAAATACTGGTTGCTCCCAGGTGAAAATATTTATCAGCTGGCTGAATCTGTGAGGGTTTTAGGAGCCTGATATTGTGAAAACCTGTCATCGATGCGTTTCTGTAGATCAATATGGAGGAAAAATAAAAAGACAACTGGTAAGTCTTAAAAAAACAAAACAAAAAACAAAGCAGTTAATCAAAATGAGGATGCTCGTTTATTTTTTATGTTGTATAGGAATAACAAATACTGCTTTGGTGATTCACCACCTCCAAAATGGCCGATGTAGCAGAAATCCATGATTTCCAGGCAATACTACCTCCTAGTGGTAGTTTCCTGAACCCAATTTAAAGAGGAGAGTTTAAGGATTTAAAAAGGAAATAAAAATAATTGTTCCCAAACGTTCCCAAAGTGGGGGGTTTAAAAGCACTTTCTGTTGATCTGAATTAAGACTGCGAGATTAGATAGATTTTTAAAACATTAAAAACTTTAATAAAAGCAGAACATAGGGGGTGAGCTGAACACATGAATTTCAAAGGATTTTAATCTAGGCAAAACAAAAAAACAAAAATAGAAAACAAAAAGAAAACTGGGACGGGAAAGTGGGGCAAGAGTACAGTGAAAATAGTCCCTGACATTTCTCAAAACAATAAACAAAAGAGAGCAAAGAAAAAAGTTTTAGGGTCAAGAAGCTGAAGAAATCCAGTCCCATGCTGCCGGACACTGCCACAAACTTTACCTAAAACCCTGAGTTCATGGTGTGAAAACAGGCAAAACTGACAGATCTGCAAATCAAACAATCGATTTTTTCCTCATTTGAAGCAGTGACTGACAAAAATTATACTTAAAGAATTCAACATAACAAAATACAGTTCAATAATTCACAATTCTTAGTATTAAAGTCCATAACGTGTGGAATAAGAGGACAAGAAGGGAAGTCCTGGTGGGGGGTGGATGGGATCCAGAAAGCAGGCTGTGTGGGTGATGGGCGTTGCTTCTTTTTAATTGAACTCGAAGACCACCTCTCACCCCCTACCTGGACATGTGTAGCTCGTGTGTGTAAATCAAGTCCATTTCAATTAGAAATGAATCTCTCATCGTTTGAGGGCGCCATTAGTAGCCACTGCTAAATCCACCACCCCTGTTATAAGGAGCCCCGCTCCGGTAAGAAGTATAGTTGCCCCCCTTCATCGCTCCGTAACTGGAGTGCTGCTGTCCATAGCCGTCCCCAAAGTCCCCATTGCTGTACCCGCCACCCATCTGGCTGTCGTATTCGTCGTATCCCCCGTAGCCTCCGTAGCCATCCCCCCCGTTATAGCCCCCGCCGTAGCCGTAGCCACCCCCGTAACTACCGCCGTAGCCGCCTCCGTAGCTGCCGCCGCCGCCTCCTCTTCCGCCGCCGTAACTCTGCATCCCTCTCCCTCGACCCCTTCCTCCCCGGCCGCTGGTGGACATTTCCTGCTTGGTTAGAGCCTTTTTCACCTCCACCTTGTTCCCGTTGATGGTGTGGTATTTGGTCAGGACCGCTTTGGTGGCGGAGTCGGTATCCTCGAAGAAGACAAAGCCGAAGCCTCTCTTCCTGCCGGTCTGCTTGTCGGAGATGATCTCGGCCTTCTCCACCGCGCCAAATTGCGAGAAGTACTCGGTCAGGTTCTCCTCAACGATGTGGTCTTTCACGCCGCCGACGAAGATTTTCTTGACATTGGCGAGTATGTCCGGGTTGTTGGCATCCTCTCGCGCTATGGCCCTTTTCACCTCCACGTTGTTGCCTTCGACGACATGTGGCTTAGCGGCCATTGCTGCGTCGGCCTCCTCCGGCGTGGAGTAGGTGATGAAACCGAAACAGCGGGAACGTCCAAGCTGCTGGTTCATGACCACCACGCAGTCGCTAAGGGTACCATACTGCTCGAAGTACTTGCGGAGGCCTTCATCGGTGGTCTCCACGTTCAATCCCCCAACAAAAAGCTTACAAAGTTTGGATGTCATGGTTCCTCCGGAGGATGGTGCGCAGCTCAGACCGTCCCTCTTCTTCAATGAACCGACGTAAGGGCGGGCCGTTTCACTCACGTCTTCGTAAGACGTTCCTCTCGCTGATTGGTCACCTTAAACCAAATCACCCCCTCACAATCGGCGCGCGATTGGCGTCACTGTCCTGTTCCCTTCAGGTCCCATCGGAAATCTTAATTTCCTGAAAAAGGACCGCGCAAATTTCGACCTTTGTTTTTCTTCGAATACAGTAATAAAGCTACACCCCCGATAAATTAATTTTACTTAAAACACATAAAACGTCAATCCGTGTTTTATTTTGTGTCGCACTTTAGACCCACTGGGACAAAATATATTTTTTCCAAGTGTGTACGTGAACCACGTTCAACCCTAAAATAAACGAAACTCATAAGCCTGAATTTTATGTTTTATTTTTTTAAGTGTATATTAGCTCTGCACGACTGGCTGTTTCCAGCAATTACAGCTGTGAAATGCAGTCATTTCGCTGTTAAACTATTATGATCAGAGAAAATCTGAAGTCGCTACAGCCTTAATAAATTAGGTTAGCTGGAGGCAGGCGCTTCACAATAAATGCAACTTCTCTCAGCGCCCCTCCCCCCTTGTTCCTGGAACACGATTTGAGCCCGACAGAAGCGAATAACTCCCATCAATCACATATTCTGACATACGAAAAGCATTTTTCCTGTCAAATTCAGCTTCTTAGTTTGATCCACCTAATTTCTGATTGAAAAAAAAAAAGACATTTTGATAGGGCACCTTGTGGAGATTGTTCTGCAAGCCATTTAAACTTCAGTCTTAGTGGTCGTGCAGATCTGAAATGTAAATTATGTTAATTTAATTCTATGTGAATTTTCAGTAGTGGTAACTGAGATTGGATATAATTTATTCATTTAACACATACTTATTTATCTTGTTTGGCAAACATGTTGCAAAACACCAACTGTAACCAAGTGAAAATATAGTTAAAAGGTACCACCAAGGTTTTATTATTATTGCCACTATTGAACTATTATTTCTGCTAGTTATTTAGCCAAAACATGCAGCAATGTGCAGGCAAAACCAAAGTGGAAGGAGACCAAATAGGAGTGATGGTGATGGGCAGACCTCCACAAGGCACTTTCAAAACTGGCACAGTATGTGCTATGCATATGAAAAACCATGAAATCCAAGCTGTATTATGGAACACATGGGATGGACAGTAAAGAAGGGCACTCTGCATGTTTTATACAACTCCCCTAAAACAAAAACACATACCAGCTTTACATCTCTGGGCTCCCACCTCTGCAAACCCTCCACCCAACAGATTGAAAACAAGCAATCAGACTGCCCTCAGTGTAAAAAAGCAACATAACAGACATCTTGATATACAAAAATATATTGATTTATTGTGAATTCATAAAAAGAAAGGCCAACATAAGTTTCCTTTTCCTACAGGGTGATCAGAATTCGCCAAGCACCATCATCCTATAAAAAAAAAAAAAAAAAAAAAAAAAAGGTAAGAGAACAAAAGCATAATTTACACTCATGACCACATCAAGCAGTTCCTTTTTAAATCAGCACAAAACCTCAGATTGGTTTTCATTTTTTATTATTTAAACCCTAACAAATACTTAAGATTACTGTGGGAGTTCTAGTCAACTCTTGTACTGATTTTCTAGTGCTCATTAAAGCCAAGACATCAAGTATTGTCTTGCATTTCATCATTGAAGCGCTCTTTAGAACATCTTTCAATTAATCTGAGAAAACTGCTTCAAGAACCACAAAGACCAAGAGATTCACTTTTAGACAGTGGTCAGCAGACTTGAAGACTTAAAGCAGTGCTGGAAAAACCAAATAGCTGAATATAACAGTCCACTCTGTGTAGATGACTAGTTTGGTCTACAGTGTTTGTTTATGCAAATTCTGAGTGCATTATGGCTTTTACCTGATACAAAGTAGCATCATCTCCCCTCTGTTCAATTATATATGACTAACGTTCATTGTCAAATGTGGAGGCCGTTTTAACAGCTAGCCCACTTTGCAGCTGTTGAACACTTTAATAATTTAGGTAAGAAGCATTGAGCTGCAGTGGGGTCTGCCACCATCTCCCATGTTTTTATTCCCCACCCCTTCCATTTACTGACCCGTCATGTTTTAATTTTACAACCATCCATTACCACATTAAAACCTGACAAGTGGGTTATTTTAATTACTTATTTGCAAGTTAATAAAATGAAATGTGAAGTCAATTCTGTAGACAAATGTAGAGTCAACTGTGTTGTTTACAAAGATCAACTAGACTTTTACTGGTCTTGCAAAACAAGTAAAACCAGAACTACAAGAGCCATTTGAACAGTTTCCCTTTGGCCAAACCCCCACAAAGCATGTGACTGACTAGAAATGCATCTTAAAAAGCTTTACAATTATCAGCTTCAAGTGTTAAATACTTTTGAAACAGCGCAAAAACGCACATGGTCCCTATGAACATTGGTGGTTTCCAACCAAGATGTTGAATCAAGTAGAAAATTCTCAGACTTGACCTCAATTTTATTTGGGCATTGTTACTCAATGCCAAGTTCTCCTTTCAAACGAGGATTTATTCTGGTATTAAACACAAGTTAATAAGTTACCTAGATGAAAGTCAAAACTGTAAAAGCTCAAATACACCAAAAAGAACACACTAACGAGGACTAAGAAAACGCTTTATTTTAGAAGGTGTTCCAGACCAAAAAGGCTAGAAAACCCCGATTTGGATTCAGTACTTTTTTTTTTAACAAATGCATCAAAGGTGTACACTGGTTAGTCAGTAGCACTGGGGTACTGTATAATCAAAACTCCCTGGAAACCCAGTAACAGTTCACATTAAAAAGCACATTAACACTGCCTTTGACCACACCGGGGGAATCCTCTGAAAACTGACTTCACCTGTGGGGGAAGAAGGCACAACCACTCTTTGGTCCCCACTGTCAGCGTGGAGAGACACACACCCCCATCGTTTCGGGGGTTACCGTCCTCGTGCCCAGGTTACAGAAGCAACCTGGAGGAGATGAGAAAGAAAACAACAGGGTGAGATTCTGCACCGAGCAAAGCTTCTCTGGAGGAGACTCCAATTTACTTGTTCCATCGTTTCATTTAATTATGGAACAATACTTGGACCCCCTTCCAACCCCCATCAAAAAATAATTAACCCACCCACCCCTCCCTTTTATTTATTTTAAGATTAGCTATATAAGACGCTGATAAATTAAATAATGGCACACGTGTGCACCATCTCAAAGATATGCCATACAATGACCAACACAGAGTGAAGACAGGTTGATTTACATACCTAGTTTGCTGGATGTGGATATCCTAAAGAGATATTTCAGACTCCTATCACAATCGACCCCAGGTAATCAACAGGGTCCTGATGTAGCCTACAAACAAACTGCTACGGCTATTTTGGCTGGGATAGCCTACTGGAATAAGAGTAAGAACACCTAAATGTAGGAATAATCAAAGATAAATATCAGAGCCCTCATGTCCACATAAATATATGTATTCAGAAGAAAAATAAAGAGTTATTAGCAATATCTAAAAACCACATAATTTTAAAACAACGTCACACCCTACAAAGCCTACATGCATTGGCTGTGGGTAGACAACCATTAACCATTTCACCCACCTGAGTGTAAGGGAATAAACTGTGGGAATGATGCCATGTAACTAAAGAGCAACAAGGTGACGCCACTTATATACCTGTGGATGAACTTGAGGAAGCCTGGTTAAATAAGTAAAATAACTAAGCTAAGTGGTATAACGTTTTATTTAAAATGAACATACATGAGCATAGCAAATTGTTTTTTTAACAGTAGGTTTTGTTCTCCAGACATGAAAGTATACAATATACATTAGATATTGCTACAGGTAAAGGAAACATGAACAATATTTAGACTGAGACTGGCTGAGAGGTTTGGTACAATAAGGGAGAAGGAAACAGTGGTCCTGCATCCCGTCCCGCCTTTGCTGAATGACCCAATAAGTAAATAATACATGTCCGTTATCAATAATGACATAGCTATGAAAAACCATAAACATGCTTTCTCATCCTCATACATTGAAAAGTCACACTAAGTTTTCTGCAGAAAAAAAACAAAATCGAAAACGAACTGCTTTAAAATGCAAATATTAAAAATAAATCAGAACTTGTCAGAAAAACAATCCTACATCGAAAAAATCCAAAAACAACGAGTGAACGCAAATAAAAAATAAATTCAACTCTAGACGACAACTAGACGCCGGAGGCGTGAGTACATAATAAAAAGCGATGTTATTCTTCGTCTTAATGTGTCCTAGTTGAACGGCAACAACCGCTTCTCGTTATAATCAGGTGTTCTGGGAAGTGACCTTCCTACCTGTTTGGGTTTGGAGGTCTTCGTAATGATTTGGGGGAGGGGGTCTTTGTGTCCGTATCTCTGCCATGGTTGGATTTCACGGCAGACGCCCCGTTACTGGCTTTGACTCTTGGCGTCCAATTCCGGGCTGAGGGGAGAGGGCAATTTGTGGGACAATAGTAGGGGTTGCTTTCCATCGTGCAGTCTCATTTAATAGCCGCCGCCGCCGTAGCCCCCCCTTGCGTAGCCGCCACCGCCGCCGCCGCCTCTGGTGTAGGGAGCTGCGCTCCTCTGGCCGCCGAAAGGTGGCCCTTTCATGGGGCCATAGCCAGAAGGATGCTGACCATAGCCGCTGCCAAACTCATTGTAGCCGTTGCCACCGCCATAGCCACTTCCCTGATCTCCATAGCCACCCCCATATGGCCCGCTGCCGTACCCTCCGTAGCCGCCACAGTTGTAGCCTCCGCCATTACCGTAGTTGTAGTTTCCGCCATAATCCCTGCCGCCGTAGCCATTTTGATTTCCTCTCATACCTCTACCGCCTCTGCCTCTCGGTGTCATAGAGGTTCTGTTGGCTGCCTGCATCTCCTGTTTGGTCAGGGCTTTCTTTACCTCAACTTTGTGTCCTTTGACGGTGTGGAATTTCACGACAACCGCCTTATCGGCCGAGTCGTGATCGGTGAAGTACACAAAGCCGAAGCCCCTTTTCTTTCCGGTCTCCTTCTCTGAGATCACTTCGGACTTCTCGACCTGCCCGTACTGGGAGAAGTATTCGGTCAGATGCTGCTCTTCGATGTCGTCTTTCAGACCGCCAACGAAGATTTTCTTCACCTTAGCGAGGGCCTCGGGCTTGTTTGCGTCTTCTCTTGCCACGGCTCGCTTCACTTCGACCGCGTTGCCATCGACGGTGTGCGGCCTAGCCGCCATTGCCGCGTCGGCCTCCTCCGGCGTGGAGTAGGTTACAAAGCCGAAGCAGCGAGATCGCTGGAGCTGCTTGTTCACGACGACAACGCAGTCGGTGAGCGTGCCGTACTGCTCAAAATGCTTGCGTAGGCCATCGTCGTCGGTGTCCACGTTGAGCCCACCGACGAAAAGTTTACAAAGCTGGTCGGTCATTTTTGAAAAATGGCGAATCGATTACACCAAAACACCCTCAACAACGCTCTGAACTCAAGATGGAGGTGGGGGAGAACGCAGCTGTATTTATATCATACGCGCTGTGACGTCATGCTAGGCTGACTATTAGCGCCGCCTTTTCCGGTCCACTGCTGTTTCTTTTGTAGAAAAAGACTGAAGATACATGAATAATCATGATTTAAAAAGACTTAACTACAGTGAATAGTTTTGGCCATGCTACCCTTTTCTCACGTATTACCAAACCACATCGATCTCAAAAACTTAGACCTTAAAACATGGAGGTGGGGGACCTTGTTATGTATTGCGTATCTCCTCCTCATTATTTTAAAGAGTGCGAGGCTATAACCCAATAAAGCGGATGAACAAAAAAAGACTTATTCAGACTTATTCTCTTTTCCATCTCTCCGAAATATGGCATTGTAAGATTTGCTAATGAAATTACAATTTTTATATTTGGTTTTATCTACGGCAGAGGATTAGGGCGACTGGAAAAAAAAGTGGGCACGTCTTTTTCCCCTTCTTCTCCAGAATCCTGAGATTGAAGTCAGAATTCTGACTTTTTTCTCAGAATTCTGGAAAAGAAGAAGAAGAAAAAAAAAAGATGTGCTCACTTTTTCCCCAGCAGCCCTAATCAAGGTAAGAAAGGCTGTAGAAACTGAATAGGCTCTCAACTAGTGTGTGAAATTGTAGCAGACATTATTTTTCACTAATTTACACGTCAAACAGCAAATGAGAAAAATACTGGATTAATCTGGAGAAGAAAACCTTGTCAGTGGCTGATGCGTTTTCTGCAGAAGTTGCAGGTTTCAGTTGTAACAGATAAGCCAATTATCCTGCCTATTTTCCCCTTATCTTTCCTGCCACGATCTCCATGTAAGTGATCAAACACAAAGAAAAGGCCAATTCCCCTCGAATCCCGACGTCCTCGGGCTACGGTGATGTAGTTTCAGGTGAAAGACACGCACTTGATTTAATTACCTTGTGCAGAGAATAACCACACCTACCAACAGCTTATGGTAATGCAGATTTCAGAGCAGACAAGAGCAAAGCAGACGGCAAACAAAGAAACACCAAAATCAAAGTTTACTGAAACCTTTATGAGGCATATTGCTCATGAAACAATCCCCATTTCTACTCTACCAACACAAACACACAGGACAGTCTGTGTCTGCACAGATACAGCTCCAAACTATAGATGGACACAAACGAGGTGACTCGTGGTTTGCTGATAAAACAACAGATGGAAGAAAGGACCGACCACAAAAGTGATTATGTTAACCTGCATTTTTTGAGTATTCTGGGTGTTCAGGCTTGATTTTCAGTGTGACCTTTAGGTCCTTCTCCATATTATTTTATATCCCAGTCCTTCTATAGTACGTTTGAAAGCCATAAAGGTTGAATGTGACTCCTCTCCTCCTCCTGTCTTTGTAAGGAAAGACAAAATCTTTACCTTCAGTAAAGGCATGTGAATGTATATTAAATGAAATGGTCTTAAAGCCTGTAATAATGGTGCTGCAAGCAGCTTCAACATAGAGTACAAGACTGGTAACGCAGCGCCATTGTCCTTCTCTTTATTATCGAGGCTTCACTGGGAAAATAGTTATGAAATTCAGACTGTAGGCAACGTCCAGTTGACTAAAAATCACCCAGAATGTCTTTTTTTAAAGGCAAAATTTCAAACAAACTGAAATAAAGTGTCAACACCAAACCTGTCACACCAAAAATGGGAAGACTGTTTTTTGTGTTTTTCATTTGGAAGCTAAAAACATCAGAGATGATTTTCTTGTCTGAAAATTTAGTACATTTCTTTACCGGAGCAGGTACCGCTTAATTTATATTACTGTCTGTGAAACTACGAGCTTCTCCAGATATGAGAAATTATAGGCAAAAACCGCTTGACTTGAGGATATTGAAGGCTACATCGGGTTTTAAACACCCGAGAAAACACTCAAATTTACACAGCAATCTGTGCAGATGGCAAATATTTAGTTTTTTTAAAATGACATTTCTCTAAAACTCCTGAATTTATAAATGAAGATCAAGTCCTACCTAATATTTACATTAAAACTGAAGCCTTTTGTAGCCCAAAACATCCTCCAGTTTCAATCGTGAGGGAGATAAATGTAATTAATCCAGTTAGGTAGTTTAAAGGAAGCATTTAAAAATATTCCCTAACAACCAACATAAACATGGCTATAAGACAAACGATGCAGACAGCATGCACCACAGGAGGAGATGTGACTAGGAAGCCATGTCTGTTCACAAAAAAGGCTCAAATCTTGTGTTAATGGTTAAAGCAGCGACTTAACACACTTCTGCCACATTATTTCAGTAACAAACAACATTTGTAAAAGGAAAAAAGTCAAAAGTAACCTCAACAGGATTTTATTTGTTGTAGTAAAATCAAACATCTATCTAGCAGTTTTTCCACTCTTCAGTCTTTTTCTCTACTCTCTAATCTTCAGTGTGAAGGCCTGTAAGATAATGACAATGCTGATAGTCCATGTGCTTGAATGGATCAGATTAAACAACTTCTAGCCACATCTAAAACAGAGTCTTAAAGGAGAGGAGCCCAGTTTGTCAGATAAAATGGAGGGGGTGGGGGGGGCACGGGGTCTGGGTGGGCTAACTTGAGCTGATCATGTAGAGGAACTGGATGGGATGGGTTGGGGTGGTGGAGTCTCCGCGGACATGTGGGTTTTGTCTGTGGGAGGAAGAAGGGCACTGGATCACAGCTCCACAGGTGGCTCTGAGCAGGCCGGGTCACAGGTGATGGGCGACGGGCCGTATCTGATGTGGTTGATACTCAGAAGCGTCATCCGAGCAATCACATGATGTACACTTTCTCCGCCTGAGAGAAGTTGAAGACTTCTTTGGTTCTGGGACACACCACTTTGTCATCTTGGCGAATGGACAGAAGAGACTGGAAGAGATAATAATGAAATATCAAGGAGTGTTTTATGAAACTTTATCATCCTTTAAGTCTGCATTTTAAATTGCTTCAACATGGATGGAAGCACCTTCATACAGTCCCAGCTGGCATCATGCAGTTTACTCACATTGTAGCCGTAAACATATCCATTAGGCAGCATCATGGGAGGGTTGTTTTCATTCATGACCTCTCCAGAGATTTTACAGACTAGTCTGGAATTGGCGCAGTGGGCCATGGGTAGAGGCTGAGCCAACTTGTTAAGAGATTTACTGCACACTGGGCAGTCTGGGTTTTTAGAGGTGCCATCCTCCTTGTAGCACTGACTGGTTTGGAAATGGGAGTTAAGGATTAATGCAGTTTAGGGAATAACACACAGAAAGAATAGACCCCCCTTAGAACAAAAAACACTATCCATCTTCATATAGCTTAAGAAGTTGAAACGACAGGGTTAAGAGTAACCACACACTGGAAGGATACGGTGTCTTGATGGCAGACAGACCAGCCTGCAGGGTGATGGTGAAGACAGAGTTGTTTCCCAGCTGATGCAGTCTGTAATTGTCATATCGGAACTGCTGGATCAGCATCTTCCAGCGGGCTGGATCCAACAGATCCTGATAGATCAGAAAGAAAAAGAGAAAATAAAAGGAAGATTTTTTTTTACAACTGCATTTCTGAAAAATTAATAAATAAATAATCAAGTTTAATTTGGCACAGACGCCTTTTATAATTTGTACAATATAAAAAAAGTCTGAATTAAACAAAAAGGTCTACTTTTGTGTATAAAAGGCATACATTTGTCTTTGGTCTGCGCAGCTTAAAACACAACTGAAGCTACATTTGAAGGATGTGGGTTAAACAGGAGACAATGCTGAGTTTTGTTTACACAAACAGATCACGACTCATCATTGTTTGTATTTAGTTTCACAGTTCTGTTTATTTATGATATGCATCTATTTTACTCTCCTAGTTCAGTCTCTAACCAGTCCACATTTTCCAACATGTAGGTTAGCCAGGTTACTGCTGTGCCAGCCCAGCCAGCCAGCAGGTAGAGAAACATGAGGGAGAAGGATCATGAGATGGTCCAACCTTCATGTATCATGTGTAGAGTGACAACTTGTGAACTGAATAACGAACTTAAAGCTCAACTCTTCAGTGTGACACTATAATCATTAGTTCATGTGCTGCTAATGGTTCGAAACGATTTTTCAGACCACAAGTCCTGCGAGTCAGAACAGCTCATTATACAATGAAGTACATTTAACTTGCTCACTGGTAAAGATCAAAACAACACTGCTAGTAGTTACACCATTCATTTTTAACTTTTTTAAAATAGTACCCGCTTTAGATCGTCTGCTTTGACAGACATCGACTTGCTTTTTTTCATAACTTTGTTGTTTGTTTGCTTGTTTTTGTTTAAAACATGAAGAGAAGAGAATTAACACTTAATAACTAAAAGCAAAAGCCTAAAACAAAACTGGACGCCAGCTAAAAAGAAATAAACACACAAACCAAAAATGGAACACTTTTGAACCCTGCTTTTTGTTCAGATAGCCTCTGTCTCACCAATACATGTTTGGACTGGGTATTTGAATGCAGAGGGTTCAGTATCTTTCTACGGAGCAACATAATTAGCATCAGACCATCAGGCAAGTTGATGTTGTTGAGCTGCATGGAAATATACTGGACCCTCTGATGCTTGTCTTCACACAGCTCACACAGACCAATCTTAACACATCCTCAGTCATCAAACAACCCTGCCCGCCCCCACGTCCTCCAGCTGGGGGGCACCCTGTCTGGTTAGTAATGTTGGGACACCACAGGGTGCACCTTAGACTTCACGTATAAAACGAAATTTATGTTTGAGCAGAGGTTTGTTGTCCTCTCCATTCCAGGAGAGCAAAGTTATAACATACAAAGAGCTGAAATTTCAATGTTTAAAACAATGAAATTTGTGTTGCATTTTTTGTGGCTCAACAAATTGATTCACAAGGCTGGACCATCACTGACCATATTCTGGGGGGGCATAAGATTCCACACATATTCATCACATTTATCTTCTTGGAGCAGTTTCTAAGCTACTTTTATAGCAACAACAACAATAACAATAATAGCAACACTATGACACATTTTTACTTCCTCCACAGTCCATTACAGTAATGCTCTCTTTTCTGGACCACCTAAAAACAGAAGCCCCACTGAAAGTCTTAGATTCTGACTTGGTCTTTAATCAGCGATGTTGATTTCAAGTGAATTGTGATTAACAGTTTTTCCAAGAACAGCTGAGACTGTAATCCTATCAGTAATGTAACCGAGTTGTCTAAATTAATTACAGTTTAATCCTTTTTAATTACCCCTGGCAGTATTTTTATTGAGCATGATTATATTTATGATTACTTTTATTATGATCATAAGTAATCATGACACTGAGGAAAAACACTATGATAATAATGGAAGCTACTAAGCTCTCCCGTTAATAGCATACTGGCAGGGAGGAGAGGCTGTTTCTGTAACTCTGGCACAAGCAGCTGGCACAAACACTACACTGGCTTGCCTAAAAGCGAAAGAGAAAAAGCCTTGGTGACAGTGTGCCATAGTACAATTCAGAGGATGTTGGAGTGGAAAATTAAAACTAGCAGTGCCACTGAAAGCCTGTACAAAAAGGGAATTGAGCTTTTTGTAAAAGACAATGGAGGCCCTCTGGTGGCTGGTCTGTGTCTATAGCGCTTTCTCTTTACTTCAAACACACAAGAAGTCAGGCTGGTTTGGTCACAGCTCTGCCCAAAGTGGTACCAATATTTCCACGAGGACAGACCCATGGAGCTTAAAGTTTTTCTCAAAATTTTCCCAAGTGGTTTTCTTTCTTCTTAACACAGAGCAAGAGATTTTCAGCATTTCTAAACATATCAGTTTTCTTTAGAAAGCATAAATTATCTATATTTGAACACAGAAACAAAACAAAAATGACCAGGTCAGAATTACCAGCCTGACTGTAAATCGGACCTTTTTATTGAGCCAAAGCACAAACTACTGCTGTGTAATGACTTCTGATCAAATCAAATGATATCCTTGTAGACATTCACACTGATAAAGACCACTAATGTTACCTTGTATGGAGAGATGTGCGTATCTGATGGAAAGGCCAGCATGCCCATCACCTGCCGAACCTCATCCAACTGTCCACCTTCTGCTTGGCTGAAGTGCTTTCTAGCATGTCTAATACACACAGAGAGACTCACAATCTCAGTAACGCAACTGCAAATGTGGAAATATGTGAGTAAAAGGCTTCAGGTGAAAAAATTATTTGTGTGTGTGTTTTAAGTACCGCACTGCATCCATGCGCTTGTTTTGTCTGATGAGCTCAATGAACTCCTGGATTCTCAGACTGAACTCAAGACAACTCTGCCAGAGAAAGGAAAGATGGAAGAGGAGGCATCGAGTTTAAAAAAATGAGGCAACCCCCCCATGGTTAATTAATAATGTCCATGGAAATCGAGACAGAACAAACAGCAAAATGATCTGTTAATATTTTACCATCTAAATGGACTGAGCAGGGAAAAAACCCACATCTGTTACCAACTGGAACTATAGTTTTTCTGATTTACATATTGCCCAACTGGCAAGAAGATAAACTAAACCAAATTTTACTAAAACAAAGCCACATCCATATAAATAATTAACAGCCAACAAGTCAGATTATTGACTCCCGTCTGAATTCTACTGAGGACTCAGACCCTGTCTAATAAAATAATGTTGGGATTAAAATGGGAACTTGCTGGGATTCTCAGCAGAGCGAAAGCTACAAGAAAAGCAATCAAGACTTAATTTTTCGCATCAAAAACCGGTTACACTGCTGCCTGTTGTTTATTAGAGCCAAAACTATGCAATGTAAAAAACTGATAGCAGGGTTTTTTTCAGGGTTCACTGGTATCAAAGCTAGTATTAACAATGCCTTGAAACATCATTAATTATTCTACCTTCATCTTGCGGAGGCGGGACTTGTTGTCATGGCACCAAGCCAGGCAAGTGGCTGTCTCCTGCCTCTCCAGAGACTCCTCCACCTCCTTAGCTGTGAGGAACATCTCAATGTTCACCAGATCCTAAAAACACAACAGAGACAGAAAAACACAGGTTATTTCTGTATGTGAAAGGTATGTGTGAACGAGAAGATTTTTCTTTTAACTAACAAGCTGACAAACAGCTATGAGGATATTAATTGAAAGAAGAAGAGATCTATTAAAGTCTGATCTTCGCTACACATTTTTCATGAAGTCAATCATGGCTTAAACAAAAGAAATCTCCGAGGACCTCAGAAACAAGGACGTGATGCTCATTAGGCTGGCTATTGAGTACTCTCTATAGAGGCTGACAGACATTGTACAAAAAAAA